TAAGGATGAAAAAGCAGTTATTACAGTTTTAGAAGTGGATGGGATCAAGATGTAAAGGGCCATTTAGTAGCCGTATGGCCTTAGAAAAATAATAATCTCTCACAACCAGTTTAAAAACAAATCAGGCCAAGGCAGGTGGATTATCTGATGTCAGGAGTTTGAGGCCAGCCTGGCCAACATGGTGAAACCCCATCTCTACTAAAAATACAAAAATTAGCTGGGCATGGTAGTGCGCACCTGTAATCCCAGCTACTCAGGAGGCTGAGGCAGGAGAATTGCTTGAACCTGGGAGGGGAGGTTGCAGTGAGCCGAGATTGTGTCACTGAACTCGGTGACAAAGCGAGACTCCATCTCAAAAAAAAAAAAAAAAAAAAAAAGCAAATCAAATAAAACATCAACATCAAGTAGCAACATGCATTGCTACTGGAAGTGATGGGCAGAAGAATCAAATGAAATGATATATGTGGAAAAGGTTTGTAAATGACAAAGTCATATACAAAATATAACTTGTTTCACATGGTTTCTTGAAATTCGAGGCATTGCTTATACTAAAAGGAAGAAAAAATTAATTGAGGTAAGAATATTTATTTACCTAAAATTGAGTATAATGACTAAAAGACAATAATTTCAAAAACAGTCACGTTTCCCTAGAAATGGTTAGCTGAATATTAAAATTAAAAAAAAAAAAAAAACAGGTCAATCCACAGAGAGACGCAAAGGAAGCAGAGGCAATGACTCAATAACCTGCAGTGCAACTTGATTCCAAGTAAAGTGGGATTTCTAGGCAGGAAAGGGGAGCAGGAACCCTGCAGCTTAACCATGGACCTGAATCACACAATTTGAAGAAAAGCACATGCAGAATGCCATTCTAAAATGATAGGGAGTGGCTGGGCACAGTGACACCTATAATACTAACACTTTAGGAGCCTGAAGCAGGAAGATCACTTGAGGCCAGGAGTTCAAGATCAGCCTGATCAACATAGCGAAACCCTGTCTCTACTAAAAATACAAAAATTGGCTAGGCATGTGTCGTGTGTCTGTAATCCCAGCTACTAGAAGGCTGAGGCAGGAGAATTGCTTAAACCCAGGAGGTGGAGGTTTCAGTGAACAGAGATCACACAACTGTACTACAGCCTGGGTGGCAGAGCAAGACTCTCTCTCAAAAATAAAAATAAAAATAAAAAATAAAATGATGGGGAGTAGAGTGGGTGACATGTTCTGGGGCTTAAATCTAGTTGTTGTAGTCCTATGTCATAAGCTATGCACAAACCTGAACTCAGATGCAATCTGGTTTACAAATAGGCTAATGTAAGTACACAAGACACCAGAAAAATCGAAACGCCTGATTTGACTGGGTAAGATTATGATTAGTTGTGGGACTTCTGGTTGAAGTGAAAATACGTCAACTGGTCGTCTGGTCGTATTTTCATGATTTTACTCTTAACCTGTTTCGCCTTTTTTTTTTTTTTTAAGACGGAGACTCACTCTGTCGCCCAGGTTGGAATGCAGTGGCGTGATTTGGCTCATCACAACTTCCACCAACCAGGTTCAAGCAATTATCCTGCCTCAGCCTCCCAGCAGCTGGGACTATAGACACACACCACCATGCCCAACTAATTTTTGTATTTTTAGTAGAAACGGGGTTTCACCATGTTGACCAGGCTGGTCCTGAACTTCTGACCTCAGGTGATCCACCCACCTTGGCCACCCAAAGTGCTGGAATTACAGTTGTGAGCCACTGCACCTGGCCCAACCTGTTTCTTTTATATGAATTATCCAAATGCCTTACAACTTCACTAGGAAATAAATAATTACACGGTTAAGCTAATTACAATTTCACAGAGAATATAAAATATTAATTTGCACAAAATCTAATCACAGCATTTATAAATGAGATGTTCATGCCCTACAACATGAAATTAAGGCATAGTAATGCACCACATAATGATGTTTCGGTCAACGTGGAGTGCATATATAATAGTGGTTCATACAATTATGTACAGTACACAACACTTGATAGTAATATTAACTATGTTACTGGTTTGTGTATTTACTATACTGTACTTCTTATCATTAATTTAGAGTGTACTCTTTTCACTTATATAAAAACAAGTTAATTGTAAAACAGCCTCAGGCAGATCCCTCAGGAAGTATTCCAGAAGAAAGCACTGACATCACAGGCGATGACCACTCCATGCATGTTATTTATTGGTCCTGAAGATCTTTCAGTGATTCAAGACATGGAGGCAGAAGATAGGAATACTGATACTCCTGATTCTGTGTAGGCCTGGGCTACTACATGAGTGTTCATGGTTTGTTTGTTTGTTTGTTTGTTTTTAATTTTAGATGGAGTCTCACTCTGTCACCCAGGCTAGAGTGCAGTGGCGTGATCTCCACTCACCGCAGCCTCCATCTCCTGGGTTCAAGCAATTCTCCTGCCTCAGCCTCCCAAGGAGCTGGGATTATAGGTACCTGCCACCACACCCAGCTAATTTTTGTATTTTGAGTAGAAATGGTGCTTCACCATGTTGGCCAGGCTGGTCTTGAACTCCTGAACTCAAGTGATCTGCCCAGCTTGGCCTCCCAAAGTGCTAGGATTACAGGCGTGAGCCATTGCACTCCCCATGTCTTCATTTTTAACACAAAAGTTTAAAATTTAAAAATAAAATTAAAATTTCAAAAACAGAATAAGCTGTATAACTTGTATTTTAAGCTAAGTACTGAAAAGTCAAAAGGTAAAAATAAATAAATATAAAGTTTATAAAGTAAAAAAGTTACAGTAAGCTGGGCAGAGTGGTGTGTGCCTGCAGTTCCAGCTAGTTGCAAGGTGAGAGGACTGCTTAAGCCCAGGTGTTCAAGACCAGCCTGGGCAACACAGTGTTATCCATCTCTCAAAAGAAAAGTTAGAGTAAGCTCAGGGTAATTTATTATTGAAAATATAAAAACAAATAAATAAATGCAGTATAGCCTAAGTATACAGTGTTTATAAAGCCTACAGTAGTATACAGCAATGTCCTTGGTCTTCACATTCACTCACTACTCAGTCGACTCACTCAGAGCAACTTATAGTCCTGTAAGCTCTATTCATGGTAAGTATCAATATATTTGTACCGTTTTTAATATACTGTATTTGTATACCATATTTTTCCTCTATCTTTTCTACATTTATATACTCAAATACTTACCATTGTGTTGCAATTGTCTACAGTACAGTAACATGCTGTACAGGTAGGATCGAGGAGCAATAGGCTATACCATATAGCCTAGGTATGTAGTAGACTATACTATCTAGGTTTGTGTTAAGTACACTCTATAACGTTCCCACAATGATTAAATTGATTAACAACTCACTTCTCAGAACATATTGTTGTCATTAAGTGATGCATGACTATATAAAATATGTAAAAATGAGTTTCACAAAGCACAAATCCTAATGGGCAAGAATGTTTAGAAACAGGAGTATCATGACGAAATGTTTAGTCTGTCTTCTTTTTTTTTTTTTTTTTTTTAAGACAGAGTTTTGCTCTGTCTCCCAGGCTGGAGTACAGTGGCGCAATCTTGGCTCACTGCAACCTCTGCCTGCCAGTTCAAGCAATTCTCCTGCCTCAGCCTCCTGAATAGCTGGGACTATAGGCGCCTGCCACCATGCCCGGCTAATTTTTGTATGTTTTTAGCAGAAAAGGGGTTTCATCATATTGGCCAGGCTGGTCTTGAACTCCTGATCTCATGATCCACCCGTCTCAGTCTCCCAAAGTGCTGGGATTATAGGCGTGAGGCACTGTGCCTGGCCCGATTTGGTGTTAATTCTTTAGGACCATGACTATGGCTTGTTTTAACCCTTCTTGAATGATTTGCTTTTTAAAAAAAATTTTTTTTTGAGACAAGGTCTGGCTCTGTTGCCCAGGCTGGAATGCAGTGGAATGATTTCGGCTCACTGCAACCCCACCTCCCAGGCTCAAGTGATCCTCCTACCTTAGTCTCCCAAATAGCTCATACCTATAATCCAACCACTTTGGGAGGCTGAAATGGATGTATCACTTGAGGCCAGGAGTTCCAGACCAGCCAGGCCAACATGGTGAAACCCCATCTCTACTAAAAATACAAAAATTAGGTGGGCATAGTGGCACATGCCTGTAATCTCAGCTACTTTGGAGGCTGAGGCAGGAAAATCACTTAAACCCAAGCGGTGGAGGTTCAGTGAGCCAAGATCATGCCACTGCACTCCAGCCTGCCTTAAAAAAAAAAGAGACTGTCTTTAAAAAAAAAAAAAAAAAAAGTAACTATTATTTTATTTTTTCTTTAATTATTCAATATCCTTCAGTTTCAATGTTATCCTTCAACATTATCACTATACATAAAAGACACAAGAAAGTACAGACGGTAATCATATTGTTGTCTAAACCTTAGAAATAACATTAAAATGAAAATGGTATTTTTTCTGTCATATACCTTCTTTACATAGAAGCTAGATAAAAAATTGTGCAACTGCAAAAGGTCACTGGGCAGTAAAACAGATTCTGTTTGTATTTGATGAAGCAAATTAACAGATACACAGATTCTATATGCTTTCAGTTACTGAAAGTGCACTTTCAAAGAGAATATCTTCTCACAGTGGCTGATATATCAATTTTCTTCCCTGACATTTTGGGGCAAGGGAGGACAGAGGTCTGTTTACCTACAAAATCATTATCTGAGCTTTGATATTCATAAGACAAAACTTTGATAAGTTTCCTTCAATAAATACTTACTAAGCATATTTGTGCAGTATTCATTGTTAGACCCACAAAATTCTTTAAACTTTAGCAAATTGTGAGTTTTGTTTTGAGAATAACTTATTTACTCTTTTCAAATTTTACTTCATTGAAAATATACCAGTTCCTAAGCTTCCAGTTAAATAAAATTTTACCAAATTTATTATAAAGAGTAAAGTAGCAAGACTAGCTTTATATATACAGCCCTGTCACAGATAATTACATTATATTAAATTTCACTCCACTTACCTACCAAGGGCCTGGTTTAAGGCCCTGTATGCTTGAATTTCATACCACTGACGGCCAGGTAAAAGACCTCTTAATTTTGAATGGTGGTCATTGTATTGTCGTTTTAGTTCAACCTAATAATTTTAAAACATATTTTAAAATTTAGTAGATAATAAAAGTTCATTTTAAACATCATATTAACTTCTAACAGTTTGAAAATACATATTTTTAGGGTAAAGATATTTTATTTTGTTTTTCAGTACTTATTTTTTCATTTCACATAAAATAGTCTTATTTAGCTTCACATTCCTTAAATTACCTAATGCATATAACTAATAGCTGTGTGATCTCAGATTTACTGAACTTACATTCATTAAATCCACACATTTTCAGCATACAAGTAGCTGAGTTTTGGCATATATAGTCATATAACCACCATCATAATCACAAAATAGAACATTTTCATCACCCCCAAAAGTTCCCTCTTATCCCTTTATAGTAAATTTCTTTCCTCCACTGCTGGCCCTGGCAACCACTGATCTGCCTTCTGTTTTACCCTTTATAGAATTTCATATAAATATTATCATACACTATGTAATGACTTGCGTCTTTTTTCATTTAGTATTCATTCATGCTGAACGATATATGAGTAGTTCATTCTTTTACATTTATCCAGTCTGGTAATCTCTGCTTTTTAATTGCAATGTTTAGAACATTTACATTTAATGCAGTTATTGTTGTGACTGGGTTTAAGACTACCACCTTGCTTTCCCGCTAGTCTGTCCCATTTTCTTTTTATCTTTTGGATCAATCAAGTTTTTTCCCCCCACTAATATTTCCATAATATTTTCACTACTGGATTATTAGCTATGTCTGTGTGTGTGTGTGATTGCTCTAGGGTTTATAATATATAACCTTATTAGTCTACCTTAAAATAATATTATACCACCTCATATATGATGTAAAAACAATACCACAATATACTCCCATTTCCTTTTATTGTCCTTTATGCTATTGTTGCCATACATTTTAGTTTTATATATGCTATAAACCCATAAAACATTTTGATTATTTATGCTTTAAACAATACATTATCTAATTTTAAATAAGTTTATGTTTAGATTTATCGAAAAGTTACAAAGATAGTACAGAGATTCCTTATACCCTTTATCCAACTTCCCCAATGTTAACATCTTATATTACTATAGCACATGTCAAACTAAGAAATTAACATTAGTACATTAGTATTAAATAATCTATGTATTTTATTCAGATTTCCATTTTGTCCAGAAAGATTATCTTTTAAAAGATATTTGCCCACAGATTTACCATTTCTGGCACTCTTCATTTTCTCATGTAGGTTTAAATTTCCATCTGGTGTCATTTTCCTTCTACCTTAAGAGCTTTAATATTAGTAGCGCAGGTTTGCTGGCAATTAGTTCTTTCAGCTTTTGTTTTTTTTCTGAAAAGCCTTCACTATCTTCATTTTTGAGAGATTGCCCCCCTTGATCAATAATTCTAAATTGACAGGTTTTTTTCTTTTGTTAAAGATGTATTTTCATTATTTTCTGATTTGCATAGTTCTGAAGAAAAATATGCTCTTGTCCTATCTCTGTAATGTCCCTTAGTGACTTTGGATTTGATTACATTGTGCTGTTATATGTATTCTGCTTGAATTTTGTTAAGCTTCTTGGATCTGTGGGCTTACAGTTTCTATGAAACTTGAAATTTTTTCAGCCATTACTTCTCTAAATATATATAGATATTCTTCTGCCTCCAAACTCTTTTCCTTCTTGTATTACAACTTTATTAGACTACTTTATATTACTCCATGTCACTGATACTTTTTTCACTCTACACTTCATTTTGGATAATTTTTAAAATTTCAAGTTCACTAAGTTTTCCTTCTGCACTGCCTAATCCATCCAGTGTATTTTGTTTCATATCGAGAGATTTCACATAGGTATTTAAAAAATTGCTTCTGTTTCTCTTTTCAGTATGCTCACGTTTTCTATCTTCTTTGAACTTACAGAATACAAAACATATTTTAAAAATCCTAGTCTGCTAGCCAGTTCCAACATCTCTGTCATTTCTGGTTTTGTTTCTATTGATTGATTTTCCTCTGTATTCGTGGCTGAATTCTCTTCTTTGCATGCCTGCTAATTTTTTATTGTATACTAGACATTGTCAGCATTAAGTTAGTGGTTACTGGATTATGTTGTGAATGCAATTAGGGTACTTGGAACCAGTTTATTCTTTTGAGGTTTACCCTTGTTAGGGAAAGTCAAGAGCAGCCTTTAGTCTAGAGCTAATTTATCCCCCATATAAAGGTGAAACTCTTTTGATCATTGTATCAAGTATCCCGTGTGTTATAGTCTTTTCTCCTGTGGCTGCTGGGAACTCGAATTATTCCCAAACCTTTGGGAGCTCTAGGAATTTTTCTGCATACTTATTTCCCTGGCCTTATGTAGCTTCCTCTCACATATATGGCAATCAATATTCGACCAAAAACTCAAGGGGATTCCCATGCAGATACCTGGAGCTTTCTCTCTGTGTAGCTCCATCAGCTCTCATATTCTGCCTTGCAAATTCTAGCAGCCATGGACTTTCCCTAAACTCTATCCTTTTAATTCAGTATGACCACCAAGCTGTTTGAGTTTATTCTCCCTGCACTGTGGCCTGGTAATTGTCTCCAGGAAATAATCTGGTACAACTGCAGTATTCCAGGACAAGTATATCAAATGGCACAGTTGTCCCTTAGTCTTGATGGGCAATTGGTTTCAGAACTTCCTTCAAATACCAAAATCCATAGATATTCAAGTCCTTGATATAAAATGAGTTAGTATTTGCATAACCTACTCACATCCTCCCATACTTTAAATAATCTCTGGATTACTTTAATCGCTAATATGATGTAAAGCTATGCAAATAGTTGTTACAATGTAGTGTTTAGGGAATAATGACAAGAAAAAATATCTGTACATGTTCAGTACAGAGGCAATTTTCTTTTTTCAAATATTTTCGATTCACACTTGGGTGAATCCATAGATGCAGAACCCATAAATACAGAGGGCTAACTATATATTTTTGTGATAGAAGCCTAAATAAAGATATGTAGAGTTACTTTCTTGGAGGAAATCATTAAATTGAAGAGACATCGGCATCCCTATGTTTATCGCAGCACTATTCTTAATAACCAAGATCAACCGAGGTATCCAACAACAGATGACTGGATAAAGAAAATGTGGTATACATACACAATGGAATACTAATCAGCCATAAAAAAAGAATGAAATCCTGCTATTCATGGTAACATGGATGGAAGTGAGGACACTACCTTAGGTGAAATAAATCAAAAACATAAACACTGCATGTTCTTACTCAGATATGAAAGCTTAAAAACGTCAATCTCATAAAAATAAAAGGTAGAACAGAGGATACTATCAGATGGGAAGGGGAGGAGGAAGGGAGGGATAAGGAGATATTTGTTTTTTTGAGAGACAGGGTCTCACTCTGTCACCCAGACTGGAGGGCAGTGGTGCAATCACAGCTTACTTCAGCCTTGACTTCCCAGGCTCAAGTGATCCTCCCACCTCAGCCTCCCAAGTGGCTTCAACTAAAAGTATGTGCCACCATGACTGGTCAATTTTTCTTTTTAATTTTTAGTAGAAATGAGGTCTTGGTATGTTGCCTAGGATGGTCTCCAATTAGTGAACTCAAGAAAACCTCCCACCTTGGCCTCCCAAAGTGATAGGAAAACAGGCATGAGCCACTGCACCTGGCTGAGATTTGTCAAAGAATATAAAATTACAGCTAGATAGGAGGAATAAGTTGTAATCTTTTATACCACAATAGAATGACTGTAGTTAACAATAATATATTACATCATTTCAAATAACTAGAATGAGGAGATTACATGTTCCCAACACAAAGAAATTATGTTTGAGATGACAGATACGCTATTTACCCTGATCTAATCGATAAACATCATATGTATCAAAACCTCACTATGTATCCCATGAATATGTACAATAATTATCTGTCAACTAAAAAATAAAGAGTAAACTTCTTGGAAAAATTTTAGACTTTAAAGATAAATTAACAGACTTTATACAGTAATTCCCTCTTACCTGCAGTGGTTTAAGTTAATGGCAGTCAACTGTGCTCCAAAAACATTAAATAAAAAACTCCAGAAATAATTCCTGTTTTAAATTGACCACTGTTCTGAGTATTATGATGACATCTCATGCTATCGTGCTCCATCCCACCCACATGTGAACCATCCCTTTGTCCAGTGTATCCGTGCTGTACATACTAACAACAAACAGTGAGTCACTTCGCAGCTGTCTAGGTCTAACCGAGTGTCATGTTATTGCAGTGCTTAGGTTCAAGTGACCCCTATTTTACTTCATAATACTTTACTAAGTTATAAACCTACTCAAGAAAAAAAAAAAGGTATTTTCAGCGTAGTCTATAACACTGTTAAGGAAAGAGAACAGTACCCTTCTGAAAAGGAGATTTCAAATTGGGAGGTAAAAATTTGTATCTTACTGTAAGAGTAAAATCTAAGCTTTTTTTTTTTTTGAGACGGAGTCTTGCTCTGTTGCCAGGCTGGAGTGCAGTGGTGCGATCTCGGCTCACTGCAACCTCCATCTCCTGGGTTCAAGAGATTCTCTTGCCTCAGCCTCCAGAGTAGCTGGGACTACAGGTATACACCACCATGCCCAGCTAATTTTTGTATTTTTAGTAGAGACGGGGTTTTACCATGTAGGCCAGGATGATCTCAATCTCTTGACCTCATTGAATCTGCCCACCTCGGCCTCCCAAAGTGCTGAGATTACAGGCATGAGCCACCACACCTGGCTAAAACCTAAGCTTTTTAACAGAGTCACAGAGAGGGAAAAAAAACAAAAACAAAAAAAAAACCTCAAAACCCCACCCTTTTTATTTTACATTTCCCTCAAAAGAATCTGTCAAATTTCTAAAATAAAACTTTATAACCAGAATATAAAGGACATAAACTTTACTCTCTTTTTGAGAGAGTATTGCTGTCACCCAGGCTGGAATGCAGTGGTTTGATCTTGGCTCACTGCAACCTCCATCTCCTAGGTTGAAGTGATTCTCCTGCCTCAAC